GAGCAATGAAAGCCCAGTTTTGTTAGCCTCTCACCTTCCAGGCATCATTGAAGAGCTCACCATCATTTTCAAAGCAACCGTTACTTTTCTGTTTGCTTGAAAGCCAAATTAAGGTCTGTTTTTGAATATTTTCATCAATGAATGTATATTTTTTCATCCTTTCAAATGTCTTAAAAGTAAGGGCACTAAGCCTGTAGTGTAAACCAGCAGAGTAACAGTTAGACAAAAATAAATGATGATATTTATTCCATACATAGGTTTATCACTATTGTTGCTTCATAATGGTTACATTCAACTTGTCTAATGTTGGCTGCAATGAGTGAAATGTTATGAATGCCAGTAAGTGAAACTGAGAGTAATTTTCAGCACGTTAATGCCCAAATGTCTTACCACGTAATCCATTAGATTATCCATACATGGAGAGAGAGCTAGTGTAATTACATGCTTTAAGGCTTTCTAATTTCGTTTTCTTGAATCTGTATGAGATTCTCACAAGTACAGAGTAGACTGTGCCATTTTCCAATGAATTAACTAGCTGTGTAAATATAGGGGGTCATCATTAAATGATCAGGATGCTAAGCAAATTGCCATACGATGGTAGATGCATCTTTTGTTGCATTAGAATAGTCAAATCTTTTAGTTTTGTCTGATTCTCCTCTCTACATTCACATTGAAATCCACTTTTCTTTCAAATGCCCACTGAGCGTATCCCCCCACCTCCTTGCAAGCCTTCCTCAGATAATTCTTATATTACTTAAAATAAAACTCTTATCTCTCACCATATACTTCCTTTTTGATTCTTCTGCCAAAACATACTGTATGAACCATCAGAGTTTCTGAAAGACAACTGCTTTTGATAACCTAAAATACAACATTGTAGGACATTACTTTTTAACCTAAGAAAGTTAGAAGAAAAAGAATAATGTAGTACAAGTCCTGGGTTTTGGTATTAGAAACATGAAAATTACTAAGATGATCATTTAAACTTGAATTTCAGAAACTGAGTTTCTCTACCCATAGGGATAAAAATGGGACTCCCATTATATAAGGCTTTGCTGATAAATAAAATGGCACATATGACTATGCCTAGCTCAGTAACTGGCTCATCATTGGTATTTACTAACTGTTTAATATCTTTCCCTGTTGCTGTATGGCTCTCACGGAAAAGTGATGTCATGGAGAATGAGCACACTTATTGAAATCGTGTTTTATTTATTTAAAAAAAAATCATACATCCTTTTTATTGTTAAGTCATAAAGAGGTATCAAAATTAAAAGCAAAACATTACAGGGTAAGACTTAACAAAACTACTAAGGAGCATCAAAGGAAGTGAAAATGGGACTAGGTGCAGGGCAATATGAATTAATGAACATGGGAAGGACAAGGATGGGGCAACAGT